CTTCAGAATGGCACCCAGCGCAGGACACAGACTAGGGACAGACTGGGGAGGCTCATGATGGTAGACAGTGAACAGAGTGGCCAGGAGCTAGGGGTGTGGCTCCATGGCAGCAGCATTGCCTACCATTCCCGAAGCCCTGGGCTTGGTTCTTGGTAACACAAAGACAATAAGAGACTGTGCTCACCGAGGAGATGCTGGTGTGGTTGGCCATCATGAGCCCACTGACACGGTGGGCTGAGGGCAGGTAGGGGGACTTCCTTGACAGGGCCACCTGGATGCTGGCTGGGCCCCAGGGGATGAAGTTGGCCAGCTTCCTTTCCCGGATCCTCTGCAGACTCTTGTGGACCTAGGTGGACAGGGTGGTGGTTGCTTCTCCTCCACCCTCTGGGCAGGAGGACAGGGTGATGGGGCCTCCCTTACCTGGGTGGGGTCCACCTCCCCCTGGATGATGTTGAGGATGGCGATGTAGCAGTGGTTGGTCTGACGGTCCCGGCCTGTGGACACCATCACGTTCTTGGGCTGTAGCAGTCGCCTCATGACATCCAAGACGGTTGTCTTCCTCACACTGGCCACCTGAGGGAAGGAGGGTTCACAGGGATCATGTTAGCAGTCAGGAAGCAACCTGGAGATGCATGGGCAGACACAGGAGAGGGGTCAACTACGTCCCCATCACTTGGAGGTGCCGTGGTCTCTGGGGAACGTCTTTAGACCATCAGGGCTGTGCTGAGTCTCTGCCACGGGTCAGGACCTTGGCTCTCAGCTCAGCAAACCCAGCCCTTGCATGAACAGAAGCAGATTCCCAATCAGCACTGCTCCTGCAGGAGCCAAAGGCAGTGGGAAGTGGCCCAGTGTCAGTCCCTGAGAATAGAAGCTGGGGAGGGGGGTGGAGAAGAGCTGCAAAGGGCAGCTCACGGTGCAGCGGGGAGAAGAGAAAGGCCACGGTCCTGGGACACTGTGGGAGCTCTTACTGACTGGTCCGTGGTGAGAGGGGTATAGCCAGTCATGAGGAAGTGGAGCCGAGGGGTGGGAATGAGGGAGGCGATGAGGCCGATGAGGTCATTGTTCATGTAGCCAGGGTAGCGCAGGGTGGTGGTGCTGGCTGACATGATGGTGGACACCTGGGAACGGGAGACACCGTATTATGGGAGTTGATGAA